AGTCAACCGATAGTGCCATCATTCCGGAGATGCCTGCGCAGCGCGATGTATACCGGCGCTAGATCGATAAATCGATTGACTGAGTTCTCATCCGAGGCCTAGGCTTCAATCAATTCGCGGCCTGTTTTGTTGCCGGCGTGCGTGATTACCATCGCAGCTGCGAAATTAAACTCGTGACCGGTCTCGTAGGTATGGACGGCGATGTTGTTATTAGGAAGTAAGGGTTGCGGCTGTCGTCGTACGCCGAGGCAGTCCTGACGCACACTCATAAAAACCATTTTTCCCTGCACGGCATTTGTCATGGTCAAAATGTAACCCGGACACGCGCGAAAAATCACCGTCCTGCCACCTTAATCCCTCTGTTAGTTTGGGACTTTTCCTCAGTTTTTGGCCGTTGTTCGCTATTTGAATGCCTGTACACGCCATAGACAGGAGTCCAATACAACACAGAACTTATGCCTATGCTCAATGATAGTTTGACCATCGATTACGATGATTTCCACCCTATGCCAAAGGGCAGGGATGGTGACTATTGGCAGGTATAGTAAAAGTAGACGAGCAGCCATCTACCACACTCTAAACCCTTTCCCCGATTGAACCGGTGACAAGACAGAGTCGACCTGACCTAGCAGGAATCAGGCGTAAGCCGCTTTCTCCAATGTAGGTCAAAAACACCGCCTAGCTCAGTCTTAAGTAACAGTAGCCCTTTGCGCTGGCTAATACTGCACTACCTACCCTAACTCCCTTCAGCAGGTGTCCAAATAGACTCAAGGAAACCGAGTCTGATATTGCTACTAGTGCTAAAACTATTTTATACTGCTACATACTAGCAGTGCAGCTAAGTGATAGTAGTGCTCGTACTATTACTGACGCTAATAACTGGTCAGAAAGAAAACTGATTAGAGTTCGCGTTGGGCTCGTGTTCCCTCGATCCCAACTAGAAATTTGAATTTTGATTTATGCTATTCCGCATGAAGTAGACGTTTGAAGCTCGGAGCACATCAATACTTGCCGTGGTTTTTATCCCCCTACCTCTATTCACCAAAACTGTTTCAGTTTGTCCTAAAGTGTAGATTACGAGGGCTAGGATACTACTGCTAGAGGTAGTATGCCAATGTCAGGAGTGCTAATTCTAGTAATCATACTTGCTAGGGTCAGTAATTATTATACTACAATGCGGCCTGTAAGTGCATGCAGGAAAGTTGAACCTAGTATGTAGCCCTAACCTAGATCGGGGTTAGAGTAAACTGAAGGGTTAAAAAACCACACATTAAACCTTCACCCCGCTTGGGCCGTTGACAAGACAGGGTCGAGATGACCGAGCAGGAATCAGGCGTAAGCCGCTTTCTCCAGCACATCCTACGCTCAATACTTACTGGTCGGTGGCCAGTCTCAAGTAGCCTTGTGTTAGTCTGTTTTAGACGAGGCATCTTACAGACCTGAGAAGGTCTAATAATTTATGTATTTTCGCGAAAGGTGTGTGCAGTCCTTGGGCAAATTCGTTATTAAAGCAGAGCAATTTATTGTAAGTGGTGCTGCTAAGGCGCGCATAAATATCGGTCTACAAATAATATCGGTCTGCACCAATCATTGCTTGGTTTGTGGGCTATTTAGGATTATGATATTTCCGTGACCGGCGACTTATCGTAGTTGCTTGAGTTAATAAGTAAAACCACTGCCGCTGCGATCTTCAGACTAGTGAGACGCCAGGTGAAAGAAGTGGAGAATAGGTTGGAGGAAGTTGACAGTCAGACGAGTGCAAAACCACCCGTGAAAGGGCCGCTTCCGTAATGTGAGAGCGCGGCGGTCGTCACTTTGAGGTCCTGTGTGAGTCAGACACAGGGAAATTATTAGGCAGACCGGACTAGGGTAGACACACAGTGGTGCACACGTGCTACCAGTCGCGAGAGGCGAAAGGTTGAGCGTTGCATGCAGGATTGGATCACTAGAAGCTTTTGTTCAGCAAGTCACGTAAGCGTATCATTTGTCGCTCTGGCCCAAATAAAAGACGGAATATGGCTGCCCCGTTTTTAATATAAGTCCAGCCTGGAGTCCTCAGTACGATATTCACGGCGCTATAGAAGTTTCAGATCATAAATCCAGATTATCTCATATGACAAATCGTCCTGCAGCCACACTTCGTGGTTATCTTATAGTGTACTTACTAAAACCATACAAGTTTTCATGATTATGCTGGATTGCATTCTCTGGAGCAGTTATTGACAGCGTTTGAGGGTTAGTTTGGGAAGTTCAGAATAACGGGAATGGACGAATGGAGTTAGGTTTATGTATGCTGGGCTAGAGATTGGGGTTTAGGTTTTAGACCAGGGAATTTGGATGGGGGTAAGGAGAAAGATAATACAATTACCCAACTTCTAACCCGAACTGCTACACCTAACTTCCAAACCTAACTGCTAGGCCTAACTACTGACACTAGCCCACTACCAACTAATCCTTAATACTAACCTTAATATCTAACCATAGCAATTAAACCCAACCACTAACATTTATTACTAATCCCAACTGTCAACTCAAGTTCAAAACCTCCTAGTTCCAGCCGGAAACCAACCCCACATAATCCTAACCACAGCCATAAAATTAACACCCCAACTCCCTGGAACCAATCCCTAGCCGAATACTTCTAAAGCAACTTAATTGTCTTGTTCATAGCTTCCCAAACAAGCCATCAAAACTTTCTATAATGAACTAACTCCGTGTGCAACCCTCAACCCCTCGCGGCCGCCGACAAGTGCGCACTCACCAGCGCCTGTGGCTGACTCACACATGACTGCGCTGTAGATGCTGTGATAAGTCCAGCACTCTCACACTTTGGACGCCACCCCCCTCGGGTTCAGACACACGCTCGTCTGATTGCCAACTTCCTCCAGCCTATTATCTACTAGTTCTGTATAGAATATTCTATTCCTTCCACCTAGCCTGACGTTCCACTTCTTCCCTTTCCACACGAAAACCGGGCCTGAAGATCACAGCGATAAGCGTCTTTCCTATTAAATTAAGCCACTGCGATATCCCGATTCATAACTGCTCAAGAAAATGCAAGTCAGTGTAATCATGGCTAATCAAATCATTTCAGTAAGCATATCATAAAGCGAAAACATGGTTACCCTGTAGTCCTGATCCTTAAATCCAATCCATAGCTCGTCACGCCTAAATATCATCCCATACACAAAAGTACTTAATTCTAACTTTCCCTACCGTACCCCAAAACCCCTGTCCATAACCGTCGAGGAGAATTAGGGTCAGCATAATTATGAAAACTCCAACCGTTACAGTAAGCATATAATCAGATTACAAACAAGTAGGGCTGCCGGACCATTTCATATCTCCTTTTGTTTCTGCTAGTAAGCTCTTTTGGATATGTACGTCCTAGAAAGTAATTGTATATTGAATTGCAAAAAGTCAAAAATTCACTGATATTCATAAAAATAGTGACTGTCAGGTTACGTTATATTAAACAGTCAGCTATGTTGGAAACTAAATTGACGAGAAATAAAACACACACTTACTATGCTATTTAAATGATAAATTTTGACTTGACTGGGGAAGGAAGTGCGCATGCGCGGTAGCCGCAGGTTAGGAGGAGGAGGCTCGGCCGCTCGTCCCTCGGCATTCCCACCTCCTTCTTCAGTGCCCTCCAGGTGTGCATTTGTGGACGTGCGATCTGGGGTCCTGGGTGCCAAACTCTCAATAAATATGCGCGTTTCAGTCCCAGTTGTTTCCTTAACATGAGCAGGAAACGGCTGGAACCAGGCCACTGTAATTTTGTTTTCCTTCGGGGCTGTAGACAATATCACACCTAGAGGTTCTGAGGTCGTTAGTTTGGTCTCTACCAGCGGTTGTTTTACTACCGCCTCATCAGTATGCTCCTCGGTGCTGTCAGGTGGACCTGCACTTTCTGGAGGCCAGTTCTCTTGTAGCGAGGTTGCAGTGGATTTCATTTTGTTGGGAACCACAAATACGCCTGGTCTGAACATCATGGCGTACCGGGTGATCTCTTCCACTTCTGCCTAAAATGCAGTTCAATTACTCTTTGTAGTGTAAAACAGGGTGTCTTGCGAAGTGTACAGACCTACATAATTTTAATTATCTAGAACTTTAGTCTGTTTGCGCTTAGAGTTCTGTCACTTGGACAATCGGAGCTAAACATATTAAAAACAAACTGACTTTTCTCAGTTACAACCACTCTCAAAATATCCAGAAAAAATCAAAAAAGGATAATACAGCGCTTACTTTCTATGCAACAAGACACTAAACAAAGTACAGGATGTATGTGGATTTCATCGTAGAATCAAAAATATAAGGTAAGCCTACGTGTTTTGTTAAACACCAGAGACAGATTGAAAATTTTTTTAGAAAGTTGGCAAATAATGGGAGAAATTCAAAATTTGTATTCCGATTTTGCAGAAAAGTTTCTCTCGTTTACATAATTTTACACTCCCCAATGCGCCAATTCAACTTGTTGAAGACGAATGTGTTCTATGTGCTCAATAAGAATGGTCGTCAATTCGATACTCGCTTTAGTTAGATTGCTTTACATAAACTAACTAATTGGAGAAGATCACGTAGAGGTTTCCTGAAAAGCTGTTTATAAATCATGTGAGTCCTAAACTTATTTGTCTAACTGCATGATTTGCAAACTACAAATAACCTCTCGATTGATTCATCATCACGCG